AGTTATACCACTCCTTGCATATACCCAAAAGACTCATCTTACTGTAGGGATACCTGTCCATCCATGCTTGTTGCTGATCTCTTCAAACTAGCTAAGAAATGGAAACCACCTAAATGTCCTTCAACTGACAAATGGTTAATGAAAATGTGGCACATCTACACAATGGAATTCTACTCCACAGTAAGAAAAGATGAAATTTGCAGGTAAATGGATGGAGCTCAAGAGTGTTATACTAAGTGAAGAAACACAAATGCAGAAAAGCAAGTGACATATGTTCTCATTTGTGGACTGTAGCACCAATCCCTTATGTTTGACTATATAAATTTTGATGTAATACCAGGAAAAGGAAAGGATACATGGCGGTAAAGGAAAAGAAACAACTTGAAAGGGAGAGAGTAGGGAGCAGATGTTACCTGAGGGAGTTGGAAAAACTGGGAGTAATGGGCAGGGAGGAGACGAGGGAGGGACATGCAGGGACCACAGGGTAGGAGAGGGAGGGAAGTCAAGAGAGGAAATCAGGAGCTATTGGGGGAGGGTGGAGATAATGGGGGCACTGTGACTAGGGAAGAAGGGAGGAGCGAAGTTAGATGAGAGAAAAGAGCAGAGATGAGTGAATCTCAGGGGCCTAGGAAACCTAGAGGGAAAAGTGATGCCCTAGAAACCCTATGAGAAATGCACATAGTGTCTGAACATCAATGCATATGCGTACTTGGGAGCTGTTTGACAGGGAACAGTGCCAGATACATGTGACCTCCCTTAGAATGACAAGCATGCTGCATAGCAGTCATCAAAGAAGCTTCTTTTTGCATGAGATGGAGCTACTACAGAGGTGCACAGACACCATACATCTAGGAGATATCCAGTAAGTACTAGGTGACACATCTGCAGTCAAATCTCTACAAATAAGGCCCACAGAACATAGGAGAATAAAGGGTACAGAAAGGGCTAATGCACCCCTCAACTCTCACCAGTGAGGCTACCTTGTACATCAGAGTGCAATGCACACAGAAGGCCATTGGCCAAGTTTTGGAGAATAAGATACGGTAGCATGTTGAATAGGACTCCCATACGGAACGTCACCCACCCATGGCTCAGGGACCATTACAGAAGGGGTGGTAAGGGTTGCTTCATGAACACAGGGAGGTGGAGGCTTCCAGGCCACTGGAGGCTTGCTCATGTGAGCCTGGGGCAGCTGTGGCGTCAAATGCAGAACCCATGTCAACTCAAAGAAACAAGGACCCAAAGGAGAGGTGAGAAACGGGTGGTGGGCCAGCACTAGATTGAGAACTATTTGAGACTTACTGCTGCTGGGTGAGGGAGAGTATGACATACATATGACCACTGTATGGGAAGACTAAACTCCAGTGGATGCATTTACGCTGAAGCACACATGGGTAGAAAACACCTGAATGAATAGGACTCTGTATGTATGGCAGAGGGCAGAGGGTTCAGTTTGAGGCTAGGAGGAGGCATGGATGGAAGAGGGAGGTCTGGATTTGAGTGTGAAGTGTATGAAATAAAAAAAGATGAAATTATGAAATTTGCAGGGTCCATTTGTATGGAACTAGAGAGTGTTATGTTAAGTGAAATAACAAAAACACAGGAAAGCAAGCAATGTTCTCCCTCATTTGTGGATTACATGTGAATGTATAAATTCTAATGTAACAGCTAGAGCCAGGAGAAGATAAAGGATACGTGGAGGTAAAGGAAAAGAAAGAAACTGAAAGGGGGATGAAGGGACAGATATTACCAGGGAGGAGGTGGAAAAAGCAGGAGTATTCAGCAGGGAGGAGAGGAAAAAAGGACATAAAGGGGCCATGGTGTTGGGGAGGGAGAGAAGTCAGGAGAGGAAGGATGGTGGGAGTAGGGTGGTACTGGGGGAAGGATGGAGATAATGGGGGTACTATGTCTAGGGAGGGAAGGAGGAGGGAAGCTGGATGAAAGAAAAAAGGAGTGGAGGTGAATGAATCTTGGAGGGCTAGGAAACCTAGAAGGAAAAGTGATACCCTTTACACCCTATGAGATGTGTACATATGGTATCTGAACATTAATGCGCATGTACACCTGGGAGCTGCTTGGCAAGGAACAATAGTGCCAGACAGAAGAGACCTCCCTTTGGTTGGTGAAGGTGGTCCAAGAGAGTCCCAAAATAACAAAGGATATTGCCAAGCCTCTTGGTTATCTCCCAGAACTAGTAGATAAAACCCTACTGTTGAGGACAGGACATACTCAGGGTACAGGACTCCCAGAACTAGTAGATAAAACCCTACTGTTGAGGACAGGACATACTTAGGGTAAAGGACTTTGGGGCAGGAACTGACCTGGAATTCTTCCAACTGAAATTCGGCTATCATAACTCTAGATGATGATTGCAAACTGCCAAGGGAGAAAAACAATCAGTGGTCCAACCCAGCCCTAAAGCCTAATAATCATAATGACCAGCATGGCAAACTCTCTCTACTGATGTAGTAGTGGCACTGTTATCTGGAGGGCAATCAACAGCTATCTAATTGGACTTCAAGCCCTCTCAAAAGGAGGGAACTCTTGGGTAGCACTGTAAACTTAGTCAAATACACATGTCAGGAGAGGACACAGACCCTAGAGAAAACCCTACCTCTTTCATATCTCAAGATAAATGAAACTTTTTACTATATGCTAAACAGCGATCCTTATATTTACAGACAAGCATACTGTACAGCATTATTCAAAGAAGCATCTTTTTGCAACAGATGGTGGCTACTGCAAAATTGCACATCTGGTCAGACACAGAGAACACACATCTGAGAGATGCCCAGTACTAGGTGACACATCTACAGTTGAACCTCTACAACTAAGGTTCATGAAACATAGCAGTTAAAGGAGTAGAGAGAAAACCCATGCATCCCTCAACTCTCATCAGTAAAACTTCCTTATACAACAGAGCACACTGCAGAGAAGGCTACAACTGGCCAAATTTTAAAGAAAAAAGAGACTGTAGAGCATAGGACAGGACTCCTATGTGGAACCTCATCCACTCGTGGCTCAGGAACCATTGCAGAAGAAGGAACAGAAAGAATGTAACAGTCAGGGCTGCTTCATGACCACAGGGAAGCAGAGGCTTCCAGGCCATTGGAATCTTACACATGTGAACTTGTGGCAATGGTAACAATTGAGCACAGAACCCATGCCAACTCAATTAAACAAGGGCCCAAAGTGGAGGAGAGAAATAGGTGGTGGCAGACACTAGACTGAGAACTATTAAAGACTGATGGCTGCTGGGCAAGGGAGAGTATGACTTACATACACATTTACACTGAGGGACATTTGGATATAAATGCCTGAATGAATAGGACTTGGCATTTATGGAGGAATGCATGAGGTTCACTGGGGGTATGGGAAAGACACGGATCAGGACGGGGATCTAAATTTGGTTAAGAACTGTTCTATGAATCCACAAAAGCTCTATAAAAAATAATACAATATATACATAAAAAGTTTATTCATGGTACTAAGTCCAATATTTCATTTCTGTTTTTCCTAAGTATTCCGAAGTATTATTATAATGAAACTAAGAAACTGGAAGAATACTGTGTAGTGTTTGTGAAGTACTTCAGTCAGACCCTGGTACCTCAACATCTTATCAATGAAGATGCGAAGACTAGATCAACTCATCAACAAGAGAGTTTCCATGTTTATTATTTTTAAATTGTTCCAATATTCTTAAAATATAGTGTGACTCTATGTCAAACACTACCATAAACCACTCTTTTCCCTTAGGCTTATGCAACCTAAATGTTTGCTAAAGCTCTAGAACTTCTGATGATCATCTAACAGCAAAATTATGCATGCCATTTATTTTGTACTATCATAGTCTACAATAGGACACAAGTCACAGAGATAAAAAAGAATCACTTACCAAGAATGGAAAGAAAAAGGTAAGGTTCTAAACCCTCCCTTCACAAAGAAATCATCTGGGGAAACTTTTCCATTTATCTGCCAAGCGAATCTCACTAAAACCCTTAAATATGCAAGGCACTATTCCAAGCTAAGCATGAAGAATGAATAAGGAAAGTAATATCCTAGTATCAAGAAACTTATATTTTGTAGCAATTGTAAAGAAAAATATCAGACAATGAAGCGGTTTGCAAAAGCAAAAAATTACTACCTGACAACTTTAGATTGGATGATTAGTGAAGGTTTCAATAAGAAATAATTTTTTAATTGAGCTCAAACAATAAGAAAGGATCTACCTATAATATGATTAGGACAGAAGACCTTTCACAGGACAGGAAGCAAAATGTGCAAAGTCCTCCAAAGAGACAGTGGCATGGAAGGGTTGAGAAAGTCAGAGAAAGCCAGAAGTCTACAGCACAATAGTGAAAGCAAGGATGATGTAGGTCAAAGATAGGTAGACGTCAGATTACAAGGGGCCAGGGAATGAATCTGGATTTTTTGTATGTACAAACCTGCTAAATTTGAACCTTCAAACTACAGCAGTATGAACTGCCAAAATTTTGTAATAATACAGTGAATTTCAATATACAAACTCAAAATTTTACTACAAACTTTAGTTTTGTTCTTGACCTTTAGAAAGTAAACCTAAATTGAGTATTATAATTTTAAATTAGAATTTTCCTGAAGTATAATCAATCAGTATGTTGCTATGGTTTGGAAGCTGAAACGGTCAAGTATAAATTATGAACTAGGTAGTCACCTATTAGAGACTGAACTACAGGCTTTTCATGCTCCTTGGAACTAAATTAAATTTTTATTTTGCCTAATCACTCTTTCACTCAAGACAGGAGTTTTCATACTTTTAATTCCTATAAATCCCTCCTACCTTATTATAATCTTCCACCCCTGCCACACTGTTCTGAATTCCTTAACAGATGAAAGTGTCTTTCATAATTATAAATACCTGTTAAGAAAGTTTAGCTTTTTACCATATACTGTTAATATATAGTTTAAAAAGAATCTATAATTGAACCTTATTGGCTATTTAAAAAAAGGAGAAACTATACCGATTTGTTTTGCAGCTTGCAATATATCTTTTAAGTCTTCATTAATGCTTTGCATTTTATTTTTCTCTAGTGTTTCATTCAAAAACTTTACTATCTTCTTCCATGTCAAGCCCAATTCTAAGACTTGTTCATGAAGTTTGGATCGTTTCAGCTGCAACAGATAGTATAACAAAGAGAAATACTAGTTAAAAGTTTTTTTCCAATCAATTAGATACCACATACATTTTATATAACATAAATGCAATTTTTCACTGCCCAAAATTAAAGTTGCATCTACTTATATCCAAATTAATCATTAATCAGGTGTTTAATGTGATTTCATAGATAACAAATTGATCTGTCCAAAAAACACTTAGTTAAAAAATAAACATGCTTAATAAAAACTTCATATTTTAGAATTTAATTACAAAGCAAGCTAGTAAGTCCTTTTCATACAACAAAGTAAAACAAAACATTCAAAATTCTGAAGGCAAAAACAACTAGTAACATCCTACATACTTGTTTCCTGTTTTCTACTTTTTTAATAAAAATAAGGCTTCTGGGATGGAGAGATGGCTCGGCAGTTAAAAGAGCACTGGCTACTCTTGCAGAGGACATAGGTTCGGTTCCCAGCACCTACATGGCAGTTAACAACCATCCATAACTCCAGTTCCAGGGGATCCAACTCCCTCTTCTGGCTTCCACAGACATTGGACAACATGGTGCACTTACATACATGCAGGCAATACACTCATATACATAAAATAAAAATCATTAAAAAATTTTTAGGACTTTTAAAAATGTCGGGGCTGAAGTGATGGTTCAACAGTTAAGAGCAGTGGTTGTTCTTGTAGAGGACCAGGGTTCAGATCCCAGCACCCACATGGCAGCTAACAATTTCCAGTTCCAGGGAATCCAATACCCTCTTCTGACCTCCATGGACCACTACACTTCACGGGTGCACTCACGTATATGCAGGAAATACACTCACATACATAAAATAAGAATTAAAAAAAATTTTTTTAAAGAGTTTTATGTTTTGAGGGCATTTTTTTTTTGGATGAAAGGCATTTAAAGAGAATGAGATTCCCTGACTAGTTCAACATAGTCAAGTCAGTATTGTTTTCTAAAGTATGACTCTAGAACCAGTTAGATTCTTTTCTACAAACATTATTTTCTTGAGACTATATAAATCTTTTCCTTCTCAAGAACTGATTACAGAATGTAATAGAAAGTTCGTGTCAGATCACTGGCTTTGATCCATAGATAAATGTCATGAAATGCTGTAACAAAATAAAGAACTGCTGAGTCAGGTAGAAAACTGTAACTACTGGTTGTACTAACAGTATTCGGCATTCATCATGGCTTTCTTACCTCGTTTTTTTTTATTTAAAATGAGGTTGGTCAATCTAGGTGTGGGAGGAGAATGGGCAAAGGTACAGATGAAATAGATTGCTCTTAAAATTAATGAAGATGTGGGGGGGATTAATGAAGTTGTGATAATAGGATCATAAGTATGTAATTCTTATTTTCATCTCTACTTTTGAATTTTCTGAATATTTTCAATGATTAAAAAGTCCCATTAAGGAGCTGGAGAGATGGATCAGAGGTTACCAGCACTTACTGTTCTTGCAGAGGCCCAGGGTTCAATTTCCAACACCCACATGACAGCTAACAACCTTCCAGTTCTAGGGGAATCGAACGCCCTATTCTGACCTCCACTGTAAGACAGGGGTACACTTACACACATGCAGTCAATATACACATAAAATACTAAATAAAATATAAATAAATAAATAAATAAATAAATGTCACATTAAAAAGGCTTATAGCCATTTTCCTTCTTCAAAGGGAAAAAGTGTTTAAAGGTCTACAAGAATAAATTAAAGGACATGAAAAAAGCATGAAGTCCTTATTCTTTTTTAAATTTTAAAATCTTCAGGATAATGTGCAAAATGTCCTGGAAAAGTAAAAACAGAAAATAATTAAAATGTAAGACATTAATATTAAGTATATTGACTATAATCCTATTTTAATTACTGTGACAAATGTAGTAACCATTGTAAAAAAATAAGTGTTTTGTGGTGTAACAAAACTCTGTATCATTAGAGTAGGAAAAAAAAAAATCAAGACTCTTCTTTCTAGGAACCTACTAACTATAAAACTAAACACTTGTTAAAAATAAAATTTCTCCCTATAAGGAAATTGATATTTTTACTCTACAATACACTCAAGGAGTCATCAAGTAAAGCAACTGCTCTAAACAAAAATTTTTAAAGAAAAGCATTAGGATAGTTTATAAATTATCTCCTATCTTCCTCCTATGTACACTATACATAGCATGAAGGCTATAAAGCTAACTGCATCTTGACTAAGCTCCCCAAAACATTTGGCCTTTTCTACTATTTAAGTCTCTACAAGTTTCATTCATAATATGAAATGTCATATCATTAATGTTAATTTAGGACTAGAGAGATGGCTCAGCAGGGAAGAGCACCTGCTGTTCTTCCAGGGGATCCAATGCTCTCTTCTGACTTTTACAGGCATTGCATGGCATGGGTACACATACACACTTATAGGAATACACTCATACACATAAAATAAAAATAATAAATAAAATATTTTAAAGTATGTTAGTTTATGCAAATTTCAGTAAATTTTAAGTTAGATAAATGATTTAAAAGATATATAAAACTCATTATTTGTGTGTACGTGTTTGTGTGTGTATGTGTGTGTATGTAGGTGGCTACGGCTTTTACTATTGTTTTATTTTTTGAGGCAGGGATACAGATATATTATAAAATCATATTTAGGAAGAAAACAATTTAAAGATTAAAAACAAGTAAACTAACATTAAAGGAAGCAGCCACATATTTGCCAATTGGTCAAAAGCTATACATTATGAGCTAACCTGTCTCCTCAAAACACATATGTTGAAATACAACTCCCAGTACCTCAGAATGTGACTGTATTTGAAGATATCATCAAAAGGATGATTAATTAAATTCATTGATGCTGGGGTCTAATCCTATCTGTTTGGTTTCATTACAGGAAAACAAAATGTGGACACTATGGGCTATGCTCCTATAGCAGAAGGCTCTGGAAGGACACAGTGGAAGGGTGCAATCTCAATGAAGGCAAGAAAGAAGCCTCCAGGGTAATCAACCTGACTTCTTGGACTAACAGCTCCAGTTCCAAGGAACAAGAGGTATCTGTTGTTTAAACCACCTACACTATGGTATTAAATGTTATTTTGTACAAAGTAATATGCCACAGGTCAAGGACTTTTCTTAAAATCTTTTCTGAAAATATCTGTTTGCTGCACAGAAAATGCAGTCATTGAATCACTGTAGGAAAGTGACTGATGTTCCTTTCATAAAGCTCCAAAGTGATAACTATATTGCCCAAGTAGAATCTACATTTATATCAGGGATAAAGCTAACTGTACTTTATCATAAAGCTAGGTCATATAAAAATTTACATTATCAGTCATTACCAGTTAGTTACATTATAGTGAAAACATTCTATGGTTCTGTAAATTTTTCTTACTAGTATTTATCTCTGAAGTTTTAATAATAGCTTTAAAGTCAATTTTTTGTTTTTTTTGGTCTTTTTGAAACAGGGTCTCCCTGTAGACCCAGCAAGCCTGTAACTCACTATGTGGATGAGACTGGCCTCAAATTCACAGAGATCTGCCTGTCTCTGCCTCCTAAGTGCTGGGACTACAGGCATACACCCAGCAAAATCAACTTCTTTAAACCTTAAATGTCCTCTTACCAATTACAAGGCCAAGTCAACTATGAGATGAACTAAATAGTTTAAATTAATATTCATATTTCCTTTGTTAAGGTACAGACACTGTTCCTGTTCATTTGTTAAACATTTAACAATAGACCTAAACCTGGCCCAATTTATTAAAAATAAAAGTAAATTAAATCACAAAATTAACTATAATAGAGGCCTTAAACAAATGGCTCAGCAGTTAAGAGCACTGACTGCTCTTGCAGAGGAGTTGGGTTCGATTCCCAGCACCCACATGGTGACTAACAACCATCTAACTCCAGTTCCAGCGGATCTGACACCCTCTTCTGACCTCTGCAGGCACTGCATGACATGGATGCATTTACATACGTGCAGGCAATACACTCATACACACAAAATATTTTCTTTTAAATGTGGGTTCTGGGAAATGAACTGGGGTCCTCTGTGAGAATAATCAGTGCTTTTAACTGCTGAGCCATCTCTCCAGCCCATAAAAACAATCTTTAAAAACTGACAACACAAAGGCCTCTAGCTTACTACTCCCTCTGATAACACAGTCACAAGTGCTTAACACAAGAACTATAATAAGAAAACACTACATTCATTTTCCTTCTCAAGATAGAAACAGGATAAAACTTCCATTTTAAGAACATACAACTAAAAAAAAAAAAAGAAGAAAGAAATGTCAAATATGTGTCCATGCAGTTTGTTTATAATGGTTTTCCTCTAAAAACATTTACCTTTAAGTCAGCTACTCCTTCACTATAATTATCTTGCCTGGTGACATTTGAAAAAGAGCGCAAGGCTCCTGTGAGTCGAGGTAAAGCCATCTTTTATTATATCAGTGATCCATAAAAATCAGAAACTTGAAACTGAAACAAAACACAATGATATTTGTTTAGAAATGAAAGAAGTAATCAAACTCAATAAACTGAACTGTACAAAAAAAAATTAAATCCCAAAGCAGTTGCTACCAATGTTAAAGTTTCTTAAATACAGGTAAAAATCTCCCAGCAAGTAATCAAGAATAAAAACCAAAGCAGCTGAAGAATCTATCAAATATAGCCCATCAGACAAAACAGGCTTCAGTACAACAGGCACTGGGGATTTTTTTTTTTTAAAGATAAAACTCTCTACATAGTAATAAAGTATACAGCTAAGATATAAAAGTTCATTTGTATGCACTGTATTTAAATGACTGGGCATGGTATCGCAAGCCTTTAATCCCAGCACCTGGGAGGCAGAGACAAGTGCACTTCTGTGAAATTTAGGCCAGGCTGGTCTGAATAGTGAGTGGGCTGGTGTGAACAGGAAGTTCCAGGCAAGCTGAAGCTACAGCAAGACTGTCTCAAACAAACAAGTAAAAATGAATTACAACAGGAAAGTGGTAAGTCCAATATCAAAGTAAAATTCAAAGACTTCAATTACAAGTCACAAGTCATACTCAACCTCTACCCTGCCCCACCCCAAAAAAGTCAATAAAGATACACAAGCCTTGAACAATACAATTAGAAAGCATGATTTGTTGACTGTATACACAAACCTATACTTGATTTAAAATGCACATTCCTGTGTACATTTGTAATTGGGCATCTCATGTACAATTGCAGTTGTAGTTTTAAATTTTTAAGTGACATTTTTTGTGTGTTTGTGTGTGTAGGCACCCGCCATTGTAAATGAAGGTCAGAGACCAACTTGTCAGAAACCGTTTTTCTTTCCACCATGTGGATCCCAAGGAATGAACTTGGGTCATCAAAATTTGCAAGTGCCTTTTCCTGCTGAGCCATCTCACTGCCTGAAATAGTTTTAAAATAGATATATTTTCAGTAATAGGGTCTTATATTCAAATTCTGGGATGCAATCTCCCAATCTCCTAGAATTTAAGGCAAGACTCTATTGTTGAAGACATACCATACTTCAGACACAGGACTTGGAGTAATCATGCTGGAACTGACTTGGAAGCCTCCTCACTGAAGACTAGCTCTTATGGTATCAGAGGCTACTATGCAACTACCAAGGGAGAAAACAAATCAACGGTCCCACCCAGCATAACAAACAACTGGTGCAGCAAACTATTGCTATTGGTGCAGTAGAGGCACTTTTATCTTGTGGGTAATCAACGGCTTTCTAATTAGAATTAGGGGCCACTCAATGGGAGGAAACTTATGTAAACATAGCCAAATACACATAGCTGGAGAGGTCATAGATCATAGAGAAAAATCTACTTTTGTCACATCCCTACACCAATGTAATTTATTACTGTATTCTAAATATGCATCCTTATATTTATACACAAGTGAACTTCTCACCACTCATTAAAGAATTTTTTTTTTGCAACAGAGACTAACAGAATTCTACAACTGCTCAAACGCCAAAAATAATTGCCTATAAGACACTTAACCCCAAGTGACACATTTTCAATGCAGCCTCTATACATAAGATAGAAAGTCCATCTTTCAACTCTCACTAAAGAGGTTTCCTAATACAGTTGATGGTGGTTAAAACAGAAACCCACAACTGGCTAGTGTGCACAGCACGAGAGGCTTCAGGTTGTTCATCCCTGAATAGGACAGTTATTTCAAGCTTCTGCCTCCCAAGGCTCAGGGATCATTCTGGAAGAAGGGGCAGAAAGACTGCAAGAGCCACAGGTTATAGATGACCACAAAGACAGAGGTTTTTCCAAACAGCTAGTCAGTTACAGTCACAGCAATGGTGACAGCATGCACAAGTTCCAGGCAAGCTCAAACCAGAAAAAAACCCCAACACAGACATAGGGGAGGAAGAAATCCCAACCCAACCTAATGGACTTTTGGCAGCTGATGGCTGCTGGGAGGGGGAGACAGTTTCTTACACGGGTGGGACTCTTGACAGGTTGACTAGGCTCCAGTGAATGGACCCATGTTAAAGGACATGTGGAGATAAAAATCAGATTCTACAGGCCATACTGCATACACAGTGAAGTACAATGAACTGGGTGGGGGGCAGTGGTCAGAGATGTGAATGGGGTGGGGACTTAAACACCATCAAATTGTACGAAAATTGCAAAAATTCAATTAAAATTTTTTCTTTCAACTAATAATTATTACATAAATCCGAAATTAACTCTTCATGCAAAAAAAAGAATAATAAATACTGTGGTACATGCAGCAGGTCACATTCAATCTTCTGTTAATTTTTTAAGCAACATTTTTAAAAGTATAAAATGTATTCTTAGGCTGAGGGTGACCAAGCTAATTTGCTGAGCTCCAGTAAGTCATTCTCTGAACAAAATGTAATTAGATTAGAAATCAGAAACAAGATATTTAAATCATACAGGAAGGGGACTGGAGAGATGGCTCAGTGGTTAAGGGCACTGGTTGCTCTTGTGGAGGACCTAGGTTTGATTTCCAGCAACCACATGGCAGCTATCAACCATCCACAAATCCAGTTCCAGAGAATCTGACGCCTTTCTCTGACTTTCATCGGCAATGCACAACACAGGTCCACTTACATACATGCAGCAATACACTCTACACACACAAAGAATAATAATAACAGTAATAACAATTTTTTTTAAAGAGCATACACGAAGCCAGGCATTGTGGCGCAGACCTTTAATCCCAGCACTCAGGAGGCAAAGGCAGGTGATTTCTGTGAGATCAAGTTCCAGGCCAGTTAGGGCTACAGAAAGACCCCTGTCAAAAAACAAAAACAAAACAACAGTAAATTAAAAAAAAAAAAATATACATGATTGCCTACAAATCAGTAAGGAACGGATAGGAGAATAACTAGGAGAAGGTTAAAAACAAAAAAAACTATGCATTACAATGGAGAATTTTAATAGGAAAAGTAAAATGATCCAATTTGCAAAGAAACTCCCTGGCTAGAGAACTTCAAATTTCAACTACCCACTAGGAATATATTCAGGTATCGTTTTTAGCTATAATGTTTGTTCCAGTAGCAAAAAGTTCCCTTAAGAGACTCTGGTCAAGAGAACTGGAGGCCTGGGTGGAGTTTTTCCAGGCCAATCACCTGGTCACAGGTCCACCCCTAGGAGGGCAGGTTCAGCTCAAATCATGCTAAAGAGACTAGGTGGAATCCCTTCCCCTTAGTGCAGCGCTTCAGGACTGGGCAACAAACATGCAGCTCTCCATAAGTCTGCCTGCTCTTCAGAAAAGTATAACTAACCTCTCCTTTTCTTCTTGCTATCTCTTTTCTAACCATGATTTCCCTAATGCTCTGGGCTGCCTCAAAATTTTGGTTTCTTTACTTATTCTCTAAAGCTCCCCTTCCTCCCCACATGCAACTGCTAGTCGGACCACCAAGTCAGCTCTAAACAGGCATGGCTTTATGGTTTTTTGCCTTCTCCCTCCATTCTCCTGCTCAGGGCAGCTGTTGAGATTTGCAGCTTGTCTGCCCTGAGGATTTTTCTTTAAATTCTAATAAAATTGTCCTAAAGCTTCTGTTTTAAGTACATTCTTAAATACTTTTATGAATCAAACTAGTAACTGAAAGAGGACTCTGTTCTCCTGTATCAGATCGATATAGGCAGGCAAACTGATCCCCTGGGTACCTACCAGGATTTTCAGGTTCAGCTGCTGGACAAAAAGTTGGATAGGGACACATGGAAAATAAGAGAAGCAGAGACAGCTTAAGAGAGAACAAACTTCCAAGGGAAAAAGCCCAAGTAGGACAATTAGAAACTCAAAGGTGGCCATGAGATAGCTAGGTCTGTGGACGGGTTGCCTGCTAACAAGGCAGGCAACCTGAGCTGGATCCCTGGGAAGGAATCAGCTGTCCCTGATTGTCCTCTGAACACATTTAAAAATGTGATACTAATGTGCACACACACTCACAAAAAAGTATAAAAAGAATTTTAATCTTTTATTTTTATTAAAAAAAATATTTGGTTTATTATTTTTATGTGTATGAGTGTATTGCATACATGTATGCACACAGAGGTCAAAAGAGGCATCAGATCTCCTGGAACTGTAGTTACAGACAGTTGTTAGCCGCCATTTGGCTGCTGGGATTCGAACCCAGGGCCTCTACAAGAGCAGTCAGTGCTCTTAACTACTGAGTCATTTCTCCAGCATCACAAATAAATCTCTTAAAAACATAAAAGATTATGTTTTTAATAATCTTATCTTTCTTTATTATCACAATCCCCACCTCCCACCGCAGGCAAACAGTGACCTTTTTCCTGTCTTTATAGATTTATCTTTGGGGTTTATCTTCATAGATTTATCTTTGGGGTAAGTGGACTCAGCATATTTGCTTTGCCTCTAGCTTCTCATATCAGAATCATAAACAACAAAAGAAATTCACACGCCAAAACCACAATGAAAGAATAAAATGGAAAGCCAAAACACTGTCCCCACCAAACCCCACCAATCCTGCAGAAGAGTTCTACAAGGAGAGCCCCCTAGAGATAACCCAGGACACTGAATTTAAAAGAACAATCATAAACATGATCAAGGAATTCAACGAATTTAAAGAACACGTGAACAAACAAAGAGCTAAAAGAAGATAGGGATAAACCGAATGAACTCACAAAAACAATTTTTTTAAAAAAGAAAATAGCAAATGCTGTAGAAAAGATCAAGACTTTTATGCCAGGTTTCCCAAACATGCTCCAGTATGTTCTGTTACATGTCAGCCCTGGCTGGGAGTGTTCCAAGCCTTCCTCTTTGCCAACTGCTTTATTTCATATGCTAATCTCACAATCTTTGTCTGGTTTTTAGGACTTCTATGTCTCAAGATAATTCTTGGTTATCATATCTGAATTTTTCTAAGACTGAGTAACATACTTCCACAAGTATTTGGAAGAAAATGAAATCAGGATTTAAAGGACAGCACAGTGTCATGCAATGCCATGGAGGTCAGAAGAGGG